GCCTCTAAAAAACAAACAATATTTAAAAATTCTAACATTTGGTTGACACAAAAATTTGTCATATCCAATCTTTAGGTTTCTCATGCTCATGCCCAATCTTTAGGTTTCTGTAATGTTTTTCAACATTAAGTGTAAATAGGAATCAATTACTAAATAGTGGTACGTATTGGTTCTTGGCGCTTGATTTTTGATCTAGGACTACGTCTGTGATTTCTATATGGGGGTACACTTTGTGAAAACCGATAATGGAACATGTAACAAAATTATGAAAGATTTTGAACGTTGATAACACAGTTGCACCTGGACCAATTTCAATAATTTTATCACCAATCAATCAGATATGTTCCTACGCATCTGCTTATTTCAAGACTTCATTATTTTTCAAAATGTCACTATTGAAAATTGCACGAATGTGTAACTGTTGCCGATTGTCTGCGAAAAGCGATTTCCCTAACACAGGTTTCAAAGTTGAATTCTATCCAGTCTCACCAAACGGTGTTTATTCAATCACCGCGTGGTAAGTGGTGGGGTTCTCCAGTACACAACGAAAGGCTGCCTGCAAGTAGTGAGCTGCAGCCCACATGAACGAGTCGCTGTGGGCCATCTATGCCAAGCGCGTCACCCTCATTCCAAACAACATACAGCTCATCAGCCTCATCTGTGTTTAACACCCTAATAGCTCAGCATTACTCAACCATAACAACAAGGCCACCATAAATTTGTAAAAGAGTATTTTTTGGTCTTCAATCGGATGTCAGTTCCCATATCAAGATAGAGCTGGAATTAGGGCGTAACAGCTTTTGTAAACAATGACTTCTTTCGATGATATCTTGAAAGTCAAGGCTCACCCACGCAAATCAACATCACCATCAGGTAGGATAAGACTTCCTCTACCCGACGGTAATGTTGGTTTGCGTGGGCGTGCCTTGAATTCCTAAAAATCACCGAGCGAAGTCATTGTCAAGCTGTTACGCCTAATTCCAGCTCTATCTAGATATGTTACAATCTAACATACCATGTTCTTGAAGGCAAAAATGGGGGTGCAATTACAAAAACCAAAGTCGCGGCATGAAAGTGGTCTGATTTTGATTCAGAGATGATGGATTTTAATTCTGAATCCGCCAATCGATAGGAATTTTTTCTACGAATCTGTTAAAATTATGACTTTATCATTTGTTAAAATGTCACTATTGAAAATTACACGAATGTGAAATTGTTGCTATGATAATTAAAATTATCACCGATTGCCTGCAAAAAGCGATTTTCCTAACACAGATTTCAAAGTTGAATTCCATCCGGTTTATTCAATCATAGCGTGGTGAGTGGTGGTGTTCTCCAGTACACCATGAAAGGCTCCCCGCAAACAGCGAGCAGCAGCCCACATGAGCATCCATAGAAGGAGGAAGAAGCCGCACCGCTATTGATCGGAATCAGAAGCTCTTCGTGAGTTGCTGTGGGCCATCTATTTATATCAAGCGCGTCATACTAAAGAGTATATACAGAGAGAACCCTGCTCAAATTCCTATTCCTAAACAATGCACAGCTCCTGCTGCAGCTAACAAATAAGATTTATTATATATGACCACGTAGTCCATTGCACCATTGCTTACAAACCCATAGGGCTGTCCCTTGTAGTTTTTTATTCTAGAACATAGATTTGATAAACTTTGTAATGTAAATAATTACGTTAACTCAAGGAAATTATGACAATTTTTCAACTTGAACACAAGCTTGATGTGCCTTCTTGATGTGCTTGTCTTTATTTATTTTGACTTTAAAACAGTATGCAGTTCAAGCAAACACATAATGGAAAATACACTCAATTCTGTTTCTATGCGATTTTCATTTTAAGATTTTGCCCTCATCCAGTACCGATGTCAATCATACAAGGCCTCGAACATTTCATTTCATTTCATTTCATTCATTCCTTTATTTAACGTCGGTCTCTGTTCCGCAATCTAGTGCCAATCACCGACGGACATCGATTGCCATCCATTGACGGCAATCGAATGCGCAGGAAGGCAGCTTCCACACCTGCGTAGGATATCGCACCCATTCAACACACATGGGCCGGGACCAACGGCTTTACTTCCCTTCCGAAGGAAGACGTGACGAGAGATTTTTATGCCTCAGAAAAATCCCACCGACCTCGGCTGGGATTGAACCCAGGCCCATTGGGGTGTTAGAAAGCAGTCACGCTTACCACTACACCACCGGCGCCGGCTAAGGCCTCGAACAACAGGCAGCTTGCTTATGTTAGAAGCAAAAATGTTTTAAACATTGCTGAGCAAGCGAATGGCGATGTCACGGCAGCACAACATTCCATACTGCGAATGACAGACGTGTCCTCACAGAAAACAGCTGTTTCGTATAACAAGGTAAACATTCCGATGAAATACGAACACTAATACCAATAAGCCGGTTGGGTCAGACCTTGTATAATTGACATCGATCCAATACGGGTACAGCATGTTTAATACCATAACATTATATAGAGCTTATTAGTTTATTTCCTTTAATAAGGCTGTCCACGGGACAGTTGCGATCAGTTGACTTTTTTGTTTACCACTTCAACAATCACAAGAGGTTCGACAAATTTAAAAGATTGACCATAAAATTTTTCTTCGATTTTTTTTAGTGATTTCTTTAAACAAGTTGAATTAAATTAGGTTGCAAGTCGAGATCACATGATCGAATAAAAAATCGAGGCGAATCAAAAATCGCGTTTAAATCGAATTGAGCGTAGTATTCAAGGTTCACGTTTAAACTTTATCTTCAATTATTACTGTTCAAGGTAATTTTATCTGCCTTCACATGAACTTCATCAGTTAGTCTAGGGTTAACTACCCCATTTCCGGCCTATTAAGCACAACCCACACTTAGTCTTTCTTTATCTAGAGCAGTTTAGCACCAAACGAAATGTTATTATTACTGATGGCTTCCAAATTTATTCACCTTTGTATGTACCATAAGATTTGATAAAGAGAAACCAATCGTTGAGATATTGTCAAAAGTCTAACACTGCTTCTTGACGCCAAACTCGGCCTACGGATTCTAAACTCGGCCTAACGCATTGAAACGCCATTGAAACGCCAATGAATTCGCTTCGGCCTATCGGATGAAGATAACATTTGATTCGATCGGAGCGCTTCTTTGGTTTTTGGGAATAATGGGTGCAAACCTTCATATCACGCGTTCTCATTGACTTCATTCCGTATCTTATTAACTAAAGTATCGTACCAAACGCATAATTGACTTGTTTACTCTGAAATCATTGATTTATTTGAAGTTTTCTGCTCGACAGGCCCAAAATGGGCGAGTAGGCCGAACTAGTTCTCTACCCTTTTGATTTCTTTTGCGAATGAGAAACTCGTTACAGAGAGTACTCGACTGTACAGTTCGAAAAAGTAGTGTAAATTTCTGTCACTATGATGCACATAAATGGAGCGTCACATACCATACAAATTCACATTACAGATCGTGTAAATTTATGAGTCATTTCATGAAATATTCTAAATATTGTATGCAATCATCCATCTTTGTAAGCAATACTTCTTGCAAGTTGCTAGTTTACGTAAAAAGGAAGTTTACATGCTTCAATTTTAGCGTGCATGGATATTTACATCACCATTAAAATTCATAATTTTTTGGTGTGTGGTTTCGGGTTGGAATATTTCTCGACTTCCCTGGGCATAGAGTTTGATTGTACTCGTTACACATGCAAAAATAGTACAGGCATCGAAAGCTCTCAATTAATAACTGTGTAAGTGCATCTAGAACACTAAGTTGAGAGCACGTAATAAGCTAATATGCGATAAGCAACAAGCTTGAAATGCGAAGAAGAAGTGTTAAAAAATAATTTTCCGACCTTCGGCCTAATAACATTTTGGCCATAAGACATTCGGCCTAATGACCCAACATCAAAGATAAGTTTTGGATTATGGAGCGATATTTCCCAAGATTTCTTCCCAAAACTTGCCTGTTTCCTTGGAAAATATTACAACCATCGTAATAATAGTTCTCACTTCAAAATGCAGGGGGTAAAACATCGCATAAGTTTCACCCCAAGACGCCAATAGAAAAGTTACTCTTATTATTTTTGAATGTCTGCTATCTGCTTTTGTCGATTAAAAAAAAAAGATTAACGTATTTCGTTTAATACTGAGAACAATATTTTAATATTCTTCAGAGGCTGAAAACCTATTGAATAAAAAAAAATATTTAAATAATAGTGAAAGGGTAATTGATGTTTAATGGCCCACTATCATATTTTAGTCAACCTTTCTAAGTATAATCACGCATTTCCACACTCGTGCTGAATCGGTCCAAAATCAATTTTAATATTTTAGTTTTTCTCATAATAAGAGCTGCTGATGTTGTGCTTGTGTGAATTCTGAAAATAGCAAGCAATGATGTCCTAGTAATAACATTTCTGATCAGAAATGGTTTGATTTACACAAAATTGAGGAATTACAACGAAATCACACATGTCAAATGATAGCTATTTTGATAATTTTTTTTTAGCTCGTGTTGTGTGAGAGAGACGACGGTAGAGCATGAGTGCTCGAATACAAACAGACTGTCGCCCACGACAACGAAGCGAGTGTAGTAAAAAACGTCAACTGTTTCAACCCCTGACCGTAGGTGTAAACGTGGAGATACGGAAAGGAATTCAGCTGTGCGGTGATTCCGCATTAAAATAGTTACAAGTTTCATGCTTTGAATTCCTCACGAAAAAAAATACACTCTATCGCCATTTTGTTTTTAAAACTGTGTTTTAATACGATTAGAAAAAATGTTATTTTTTAAATAATAGAACCAATTTTGTTCTAAAACTCTACCACGTAGGTAGATCCCTTTTTACGTTAAAAGTTGTTTCTATTATGACATTTTTCAACTTATGTTTTCTGCTGCTTTCAGAGGAAGTTTGATCCTCATTTTGTGTTACTTACTCTTCGAATAATTTTGCACAATACCGTATGCAAACCATCACACTTGTAAGTAGGACTCGCTCATTCACTCTTTTTCGCCATTCATCATCGAGTATCCCTTACTTACATTTAAATTGTAGAAAAATTGCACAATTATGTAGGTAAAGCTCAACAAAACAATAAAATTGCACAACATGTCTGAACAGTCTAATAAAACTTACTTCTATATTAACCTAGCATGTAATACATATTGATATTCAGATCTGTAGGCAGATTCTGCTTCGTTAATTCGTCTAAAGTATTCAGAGGTACCATAACTCAATATTCTTTTCTTCGTAAAATGTACATCATAATATCGTTCGAAGTCTTAAATCTCTACGTACGGTTGCTATTGCACAACTGTTTTAATTTTACTAATAAAATTGCACTTTCTCTTCATCAATCTTATACACTTTAGTGGGCCAAAGCGGCCACATTGCACGGTTCGTTCCGTCTAGGTCTAATGTTTTTGAAAAATACCGAATGCGTTTCGACACTCTCCGCTCCCGATTCGCAGATATCGTCCGTGCCGCAGCTTGTACCATCGTCATCGTCGTCGTTGTTCTCCGAAATACACGAGGCATTCTCGCTGCTGGCGAAATTCTCATCATCCGATGAGTACACTCGAACGCTGATTGCGTCTGCCGTGTTAAAGAGGAAGTTCTCCTCCGGCTGGGGTATTTTAGGCGCAGGATGTGATGGTGGGGGTGGAGGTTTTGTTTGCGGTTTTTCTATTATCCGTGAGGGTGAAGGTTGCTTCTTGGTAGGAATCGTGGTGGTCGGAGGTGGCGGAGGTGGATTAGGCGGGGGTAATGGTGGAGGCGGTGCTTTAGGACGAGTTAGTTGCTTATCCGAACGACGACTGCCATTCGAGGAAGATGAGGTATTACTCTTAACCGTGCTTACGGAATGTTCGGGAATTGCACATATTTCGTACTTATTTTCTTCTTGAATGGAATCTGACGAGTCAATCGATTTGGCAGTGAAATTGAACCGTTCGTACAACTTCCTGTTCAAACGAGATTCGCTCGAATCTGCACTGATGTAGCCACTGTCATCTTTAACACTAGAACGAGAATGACTTCGAATGACCGTCATCTGTCTATTGCTGGGTGCTGGGGCACTTGAGCTTGACGGTTTATAATGGTGGTGATGTCGGTGATTATGATGATATGCTTTTTCGGCACTATCATAAGCCGCACTTGCATCATCAATCAGTGATGATATTCCTTCGTCCTTATCGAGAATATCGGAAGAATCAGAATTTTTCTCCAGATCCGAATCATTCTTACCGTCAGTGGATTTTCCATTGAATTTCGAAGTCGCAATCCCGATGAATTTCTTCCAAGCATTCTTGATGTCCTTCGATTTTTTCACTCGATCGCGAAGTCCCATAGCTATTTGCATTCCATTCGTGGCTTGGCTGATTTCTACTCTGAAGACTTTCGTGGTTGTAATCGGATTAACTTCAAATGGAGCCTTATCACTATTTACTTCTTTCGAATTTATGCTTGGGCTTCCTTTCCGAACTGGAAAATCATAATTCGACAGCGTCTTAGTCGATAGTACCTCAATCTTATCGATGTCTTCGATGAATTTGGCCCTATTCATATCCTGCGATTTTGCATTCACATCATAGATATTATTTTCAACTTGCTCTAAGAAGTTTTTCTCATTCAACTCTCCTAACGTCATGTAGTTCTTCACGACGCCAACCTCTTGTTCACGATCCAATCTGAAACCGTCTTTTTCCAACGATTGTGATCGACTTGGTTTGTTCACCTGGCTGTAGTTGGCGATTTTTTTCGGTCTCTTAGATGCGTTGTGATCATTTTCAGAAACACCTGTAAATTGCGTGGAGTCACTGTCCGCCGTAAGACTGTTTGTTGATTCATAGTTTTCCAGGTTGCAAAGCGAAGGTTTCGGGGCTGGACCATTTGGTTGCTTCGTGAATTTATCATTATTCCAGCAGGCCAGGTTCTTAGGCGAAATTCCGTAGTCTTCGACTTTCTTCAGCTGCTGGCGGGGCTGATCGTAGTGATTGCGTGGAATCGATACTTCCGGAGGTATCAAATCCGGTGGCATTAGCTTGGGAGCTACCACGGTTTGATCAGTCGCTCGTTGCCTTTTAGAATGCCTGAGCTCTAAAGTCAATAACCGCCCCGAGGTCATCTCAAATTCTTCCAAACTTCGCATCTGGTTAAGATTAACGTTTTTTAAATTCTTTGACTCGTAGATTTCCCGGAGACTGCCAAATGTAGTCTCCCGGAAAGATTGGGAGTTTTTTAAAACAAAGTGATTGTTCAAATCGGCAGGTAGGGAAGTGAGGTTCGTTTCCTTTGTACTCAATCGGTCTTGTGCCCAGACGTTGCTTCTGTGTCGTCCGACGATGTTGCTGTGCTTTTTTGGCTTACGATCCAACGTGTCCGGTTCAAACTGATCGCTATCCGTAGATAGTTCACAATCGTCCGGGCTGTGCTCAACCTCAATCGTTATGCTGCCCTGAAAGGGCGTGTCACATTTGATCTTAGGACCCTTCTTCGTCGGCACCTGAATGACTGTTTCGGCCAGTGAGTTCATCGGAAGGTCCTCGAATTCATCTACTTCTATACTGATACTCTCGCGCTCCTTTGGAATAGTATCAGTATCTTTCCTAAACCCCTCCACCCGGTCGTAAATGGCGTTACGTATTTCAACCTCTTCTTCCAACGGAAGTGCCGTGCTATGAGATGGTGATGGTTGTGAGCTCATATCACTGCTATTCGTTGTCGATGTATTGAAACTTATTTGCGTTTTGGTAGTCACTCGTTCCAAGCTGTCTGTTTCATAATCAACTATTAAGTAATGTGGTGACTTTCGGGAATATATTGGCGAATCCGGTTGGTATTTGTTAAACGAGTTCTTTCCGGATCGGTTTCCGAGGGTATTGTTATCGTCTGAGTTGATGAAGTCATGAAAGAACTTCTCGTTTCGGTACTTTTCAGTGCGATCGATACTACTGAACCGACTGTCCGAATCGTGCATATATTCATTGATGGGGACTGGTTCACCGCGACCTCTCCATGAGTTTTTTCGTTGATCCATTGCCAATGCCTCGTAGACCATGTCGGGCATGTGATTCAGATTCCTCATCTTGCCGCCGGTTGCGAACTGATCAAGTACCTCAATCTGCCGTTTTCCCAATGGACTTGGACGGCTATTTGAATTTGTACGTCTTCTTCCCTGTTGATGATGGTGGTGATGATGCTGACTGGGATTAATTAGACGATGTTGCATTTTGGGAGAGGATTCAAACTGGGGGTTGTTGAATAGCTCGCTTCCAGTCAAATTGTATAGATCGCGTTTGTCGTAGATTTTGTTTGAATCCAAGTTTACCAGAGAATTGTTTGTATTCCTCATGTAGATGTCTTGATTTGCTTTTGAGTGACCTTCAATAGGATTATGGTCGTATACGAAATTATTATTCTTCATAATCGAGCCATCGTCTGGTCCAAATTTGGCCATTTTGACTACGTCAGACTTCAAACTGTGTGAAACTATCTTGGGGGCCGAACTTGTGTCCGATCGAATTGATTTACTTCGGGAGGGAACACGTGCAACTGAAGATCGTTCTTTTACGCTATTGGCTACAATTGTTTCATTATCGGAAGCAGAGGAGCTATCGCTATGAACGCTATTTTGACGAGATCGTAAGGATTTAGGCTGTTTCTTTATCTCAGGGTTTATCGGAAGCGATTCGCAAGTTGAACGTTCATCCAGTGACCTTAGAGATTCGGTGTTTTCTGATGAATTATTACTGGGTTTACTACCATCGTACATGTCAACATCGCTAATGACTTCTCCGTGGTTTGTTGAAACGTCTTCGAGCCACTTTCGGATACTGTTTTGTTTGTCACCGCAGTTTTTACAATTGCTCGAAGGAACTGCGACGTCTGAGTTGCCCTTTTTCTCACACCCCGGGCAACCTGAACATATACTTTTCTTAGAGCTGTCCCTTCGAGAGCTTATAAGAGAGCTGCGGCGACTGGGAGGGGCCGTCTGAGCGACAGCGTAGGTTTCCGATCCTTGAGTCTGTTGCAATTCCTCGGGAATTATGTTCAAGGATGGTTGAAACCGTTTGGCTGACATTTTGTACTTGGCAATGGTGATTACTTCACGTATTTTGTTCAAAAATTCGATTGCTGCCGGCGGCGGTGACTGAAATTAAGTTCAATTCATTTAGCTTGTATGTTTGTTAAGATCAAAACACGACACTTACCACCAAAAGATGTGGCTCAAAATAAGCAGGGTTAAAGTACAACTTCCGGCGCATAGTTCCGTTGACGATAGACTTCATACTTTCGAGCTTTTCGTCGTTGCTGATATCTTCTACAATGGACACATTTTCCTCTGGCAAACACTCGGTATCCTGGCCATTCGGATTGCTGTATCCATCGGGATTCTGCTGTGACATCTGCTGTTGATGACTGTGCAGCGACTGTTGCGGATGGAGAAATCCTCCATCCATGTCGGTATGCCCTAAGTAGTTTTTTGACTGATGTATATTGGCTTTAGTCTGCATCTGTTCCAAGAATAACATAATCATTTTTAAATCAGAATCACTTTAAAAAAAGACGAAACTACCCACCTTCTCGGTGTCGATCGTCCGTTCGTCTTCGAACTCCGACACCGAATTGGAGTTGTCGCTAATGAAACCCGAATTGTCACTAAGATTTGGAAAATGCTTCAACAGAGGATTGTTCTTCACAATCCCCATCTCTTCGGCATGAAGTCCGACATTCAGCGCCGACGTGATACTCCGGTGAGCGGTGGTACTACTTTGTCTCTGACTCCCACCCCGTCCTATGAAATTGTTGTGAGGTTGATTAGCGAATGGATTAACCTGCGAGCTCAATCCGACTCCGAACGTAACTTGATCGTTCTGCTGATAGGATGAGTATTCATTCTTAATCGTATTGGCATCGTCGTCATCTCCGGAGCCCCTTTTCCGTTTTTTCATGTGAATGTATAGGAAAACTGAAGCGATATAGATTAGTCCCAAGCAAAGACTGCAGATCGCTATGACGATGTACTCCTTCGTGCTCAGTCCCGATTGGCTATCAATGTGTGTCTCCGACGAGAAACTGACCTCGGTGACGTCTGTCGGGTGAAGAGAGAAAGAAAGTGGAAAAGATAATTAACGGTTTGATGAATGAAAAGCTGGTCAGCTGAGTAGCACGTGGCTGCCGCGAGTGAATTGTATTATTAAGCAAATGCATTCCATTAGAAGTAATTGGTTCAATAAATTACTGTTTACATCGATGTAGTAAGTGTTTCTGCTGTATTTACGTACATCTGACTGGCACCTGTTCAGGGGCATGTTTTCTCAAGAATACCTATTTCAGGAAAGGGAAATTTTTGCGTCATCATTGCTTTTTTGTTTGGATTCCATTTGTGAGAAACAGTGAAGCTTTTACAGCTTAAACTCATTTGAAGGGTATGACGTAATTGTTTGTCTTATGTTAATACAACATACCGTATTGTCTCAAATTCTGGGCGTGATTCTGAATGTAATGATTTTAATGTAATATAATTTTAGTTAAATTAAAAGTTAAGTATCGTTTTTAATTCATTTACCCATCGCCTAAAAAATAATGGAAGTTGATACAGTTAATACGCAGTAAATGCACAATAATAGTTTACCTAAACTCATCTCCGTCCCATAGCGAAAACCAGCAAGCCGAGAAAATTGCGTTTTAAGTTTGCACCGTAGCATTGATGGGACAACAAATTTGATTGTCTTCCCAACCCAAACTTTTTCATAACAAAAATCATCCAGTTTTATGAAAATATGGATAATAAGCATTTGCATTGAAATACTTTGTTTTAACTAGAAACACTCAGAGGGAGAGATAGGCGGAGAAAACAAAATACAATTCGGCAGCAGGGATTTGTTCCTAAATTATCTTGCAACCCTTGATAACTAGCATTTCAAATGACTTTTATTTTTGATTCGATTTACGTGCAAAATAATAATTGATTGCATTGCAACATTTTGCACATTTCTTGGTGCCATTTATTAACCAACGAAGATCAATTAATCAATAGAGTTAGAATATTGTTTTTGGTTCCAAAAACTAGTTGAATTTGAGAAGCACACAAAACATAAAGGTGATTGAATTTCTGTTCGATTGCAATACTCTCAAATTTATTCTAGTAAGAATAAGAAATCCTCGGAAAAATTCTAATTGGAATGTTCGATTGGCTCAGATTTTGACAGTTCATTTGGCTCAAAACATTCTCTCCGCCCATCTCTCCCTCTGAGTATTTCTAGTTTTAACTATGGGACTGGCATGCAAAGAACGGCACTTCATGATTGTTGGTTCAAGCCTCATCAAAGCTTATTTTCATAACTACACCCATCACAGAATAATTTTCATAAATTAATATCAAACAGATATTATAACATTGAATGATAATTCTCGATTACTTTTTCGAAGGGACGTATCAGCTTTTGTAAACAATGCATTTGATCGTCGATTTGACGTAACTGGTAGCTCGCCGACGAATTCCAACACTACCCACAGATAGGGGAAGTTTTCTCCTACCTGATAGTGATGTTAATATACGTGGACGAGCTACTAGTTACGTCAAATCGACGATCAAATACATTGTTTACAAAAGCTGATACGTCCCTTCGAAAAAGTAACCGAGAATTGTATGAATGAAAATATATTGGGTAGAATAAATAATAAATAATTTGTATTACTTCTGCGTGGAGTCAACGATTTACATAGTTGAAGATGCTAATTTTAAATAACAGACTAAAGTGGTAATTTTTATACGATAGATGAGGAGATGAAAGTATAGAGTTGATAGTTCCACTTCGATAATACCACTTTAGTCTGTGATTTGAAATTAGCATCTTCAACTATCAATAGAAATGTTTTGTCTCGTCTAGATTTTCGTTGACGCACAGCACGAGAGGCACAAAGTTAAAATGCAAGCAAAAGTACTTGATGTAAATAATGCATTTTAAAGTTGTAATGCAGTTAAAAGTACTCAAAATATAATGAATTGTACTGCAAATGTAATTTGTAGTAACTGTAGTTAATGGACTTAAAAATGCAGTTGACGTACTGCATGAGGTAATTAAAGTAGTTAATGCTGTAATTATTAAAATTAATTTAATTTAAGCACTTGAATGTCTATGTCGGAGTTGACGGTTATTGCGTGCCCCAAGGGCAGCATTTGTTTACTCAAACATTTTTGTTTTCAGATATGAGCATGCATGAGCGCTCCGCTTCGGAGCGTGATTTGCGATGGTATGAGAGAGACACTAGTACTTTTGTCTCTCTCATACCAACGCAAATCCCGCTACGGGCGTAATTTTAGGGCGAGGTAGTCGAGTACGGTCGTGATGACTCTGTACATCTTCAGATCATCGGCAAACAACTGTTTGAACGAAGAAATACGAAGGCACAGATCGTTCACGAAAAGAACAAACTGGATTAGATCGAGTACACTATCTTGTGCACACCTGATGTAATTGTGATGGCTCTCGAACGCGTGGAGTTAATCGAAACGATGGACTGTTGGTATGTCCAGTACGAAAGAATCCACTCAGATAATCAGGTAGGGAATCCCCATGGCTTTTAGTTTCTCGGTTGCGTACAGATGTCGTACAGTGTCGAACGCTTTTGAAAAATCCACGTAGATGGAGTCAACCCAAGCAGCCAGGTTATCACGAGCTGTCCGGGCCATGGTGAAGTGAATCCTATGGTTACTAAACTTCAGAAGAATAGACTCACCGTAGGAACGAACGATAGGACTCCTCAACCGGGACGCAGAGTAAAAAGCATTTTGGAAGCCCTTGGTTTCTCTAACTCAGTCCTGCCGATCCCAGCCAGCGTTCATCAATGTCGTCCCGGCCCTGAACTTAGATGTGGATCGGGAGTCTTCCAGTTTGCCATGTCAGGCAAGTATAAACACGTTTTTGAACTTTCGCTGCCTAATGTCGGTTCAAATTTCAGCACTCTGGATGTCGCCGATCGTGGAAACGTTTCGTTAACACCTGTTACTTGGAACGCGGAACGCACCGTAGAAAGCATGTGGAAGCCCCCAATCCCTCCGACCCAGTCCTGCCGTCTGCTGCCTACGATCTTCATAGTCGTTCCGGGCCTGTGGTTGGATGTGGAAAAGGGGTCTTCCAACCCACTCACTATGGCGAGTATCCGCATGGTAATGTTAATGTTCGTTCGCTGCCTGATGTTTCCGTGACTTCAAGGAATAACGTCCAACCTCGTGCTACCATATGTCATAAACAAAACGTCATCATTTATTACCAGAACATCGGTGGAATGAATTCTGGTGTTAATGACTACCACTTAGCTGTATCGAATCGTTGTTATGATGTCATCGTTCTAACCGAGACTTGGCTCGATTCTCGAACGCTCTCCAGCCAGGCGTTTGGACGCGAGTATGAAGTCTTTCGCTGCGACCGAAATCCTAAAAACAGTCGGAAATCTAATGGAGGCATTGTAAGCAGTATCTAAGTAGTGATCAACATGGCTTCGTTTCCGGTCGTTCTACTACCACTAATCTACTTTGTCTGACACCGTATGTCCCGGAAAGCATGACAGAACGGGCTCAAACAGACGTAATTTACACCGACTTGTCGGCTGCATTCGATAAACTGAACCATGCAATTGCGATTGCTAAGTTAGATAGACTCGGGGTAAATGGCAACCTCCTGCGACAGTTTTGCTCTTATCTCAGTGATCGCCAGCCGATGGTAACCGTTGGTCAATGTCAGTCTGCTACTTACCCAGCCACGTCAGAGATACCTCAAGGAAGTCACATAGGCCCGTTGATTTTCCTGTTGTACTTTAACGACGAGAATCTGGTCGTTTATCGTATGCAGATGATCTTAAAATCTATGTCCGGATCCGTTCTATCTATCACTGTCACTTCCTCCAATGCCAGCTCGAAGCGTTTGCTAACTGGTGTAACTTGAACCGAATGGAGGTCAACCCCGCGAAGTGTTCAGTTATCACCTTCTCTCGCAAGAAGGAACTGACCATGTTCATTTATTTACTTCAGAAAACAACTATCAGCCGTGTCCACCACGTAAAAGACCTGGGAGTTATTCTGGATTCACAGTTTACGTATAAGATCTTTGGGATTCATTTTCAGGATTGCAAAGAATTTTTCCGATATATATTGTCTCAAATCGCTATACTGTTCCCTGGTGCGGTCCACCCTGGAATATTGCTCTGCAGTATGAAACCCAAGCTATAATAATGGTGCTGAAAGAGTTGAGTCCCTTCAGCTGATTGATTTGGAGCTTCTACGTACTCGGAGAGACACTTCGCGGGCCCTGCTCATCGCGGATAGTTTACAGGGTAGAATTGATTGTTCTACAATCCTGGAGAAGATCAACGTGAACGTCCACCCCCGAGCGCTGCGAAAAAACGATTGCCTCAGCATCGCACTAACTATTGCATGAACGGTGCTATAGACGGCCTTCAACGTGTGTTCAATCGAGTTTCTTCAGTGTTCGATTTCAACCTGACACGTGATATGCTACGCCGGCGCTTTTCCCGTATTTTCTCTGACGCAGTATACCGTTGAATGACCATGTATTTTATTGTATTGTGTATTTTAGTAAGCTGGACTATGTATTTTAATGTTATTCACTTAAACATCATTGGGGCTACACTCAGCCTGTTGATGTAAACTAATAAATAAAAACCGGTTTACATGATTAAACCTCTCCAAACAGTGTATTAGTGTAGCACAGTAGGTTTGTAATTGTCGAGCGGTGTTGTACAAATCCATGCTGGAGTTCCGATATAACTGGATGAACCACAGTATATGGAGCATTGTGGACTAATATCTTAAATACTTTGCTTATACAGCTGAGAAGCGATATCCCACCTGCTTTGTGAATTGGTACGATTGAAGCAATCTTCCAAGCACTAAGGAAAGTTCGTTCACTCATTGAACGGTGTCCATGGTTTTGAACATTCCAAAATTTTGTATTTCTCATAGGTTTTTATTTTGTAACAAAATATTTAAAAACTCGTCGAGAAAACTTTGAGATATTAGGGTTTTAGCATTTTTTTAAAACTTTTACTTAAAATAATCAAGAAATATTT